TTTGGTGCAATTCTACTGTAATCTGTGTCTTACCCTTACTGTACTGAGCCAGAACCCAACCTAATAGCAGACATCAGAAATGGGGATGATTAAAGGACATACTTTTAATTTTCCATTAGATTCAGCCTGTCGCTTCCCTTCTATTCATTAATGCTGGGCTAATATTTACTTCTAAGACTTAGATATTTGTAGACTTTCCACATATTTCTTCCACCAAACTGATTTTCAGCCAAGCACTGCATATTCAGTACCTTCACTCCTTCCTGATTAATCTGGCAAAAATTCCAGCTTTCAGGTTAGTGTTGGCTCTGCCCAGATACTGGCAACTACCCTCAGCTATTAGGAGGTTTGTGGAAAGCGGATGTGTAACTGCCTTAACATGTCTGAATTTGCATCAGATTTTGAATCCACACAAATACAGTGTCTGCTTTTCATCCTGATGTACTCTGAAACTCATACTCTGATCTTTCCTCCTGTGCTACTCTGTCCATCTCTTTTGGCATCTGCTTCTGTGAAGAAGATTAATTACCCAGCAGCAGCACTATATAGGACTGAGCTACAGCCTATATTAAAGCTCATCTTCAGGCTTTGCACTCATTTCACACAAAGAGGAGACATGGGATCAATTATAAGGCTCAACCCATGTGTGGTAACACATTCAATCACATCTTGCTCGTGTGCCTAAGCCTCATAGTCTGGCATTTCTCTTCCTCCACAAATGCTGATTTTTTTTGTCCTGGTCTTCAGTGTCTGTGTCCGTGAGGCAATTGCTGTAATAAACAGATTACACAGGAGGGCCTTGGAAACTCTCTCTGCATCAAGCAGAACTTTGATTTCAAAACAGAGATATACAGCAAGGGAAAGAACTTGTTCTTTGTGATTGCATCTGGCCAAGGATTCCCCCACGCCTTCCAGATGCAGTGGCTCAGCTTCATGGGTGGCTTCTGATCTCTCATCAGGCAGTGTGGGGAACACCAGGATGGAGTTGCTGAACTAGAAAAGCAAAGACATCATGATCTTGGGAAAGGTGGTTGTCTGGCCCACAGTGGATGCTTGTATTAAGAAGCTGGAACTGTCTAGAAAAGCATCAAGAAACGTGTCACACATCTGACACGGGTTCTCTGGGATATGACAGCTCAGGTCTGGGCTATACAGGAGCACATGTGAAATATCACTGGTCATAGAAGACACAGGCAAAGGGGCACATCTTGCTCTTTGGGTGTAGGGACTGAAGTCTCACATAACTGTGCACAGAAGCTCTGGTGCCTACAGCAAAGTACACACAGCAGCAGGCAGCTGAGCATGCACCAGCTCTCCACAGCATCCACCTGCCTTCCAAGTCAAACTTTTGCAGTCCAAAATGAAGTCTGTGTTGCTCCAGGTTCCTCCTAAAAGAGCTTGTTTAAAAGTTGTACCTACATGAGCTTCAGACACACCCTGAGCTACTGGTTCGGTACATGCATAATTTATTCCATAGGTTGGACTGTAATGAGAACAGTTTAGCCCCAGATGGAAATCTTTATTCTGTCTTTATTATAAATCTATACTCTGAGTTTGCTTGCTCTTTCATAATTCCCTCATACTTCTGTAGCTTTAACCAATTCCCCAGCTCAGAGATAATTACATTGTGCCTCTGCAGCCCAGAGGTAAGGATGGCACTCTGAGCTTACAGGAGACAGAAACAGCAATATTTATGACTCCTGATTAAAACATGGTATTGGAAAAAAGTATCACTTAAGTCATCAGGATATCAGTTGGCTGTTGTTTTCCTACACATTTGAATTAGAAAAAAGAATAAAGTTGCATTAAATTAAAAAGATAATTTCAAGACAATATTCAAAGGTTTCCCACAGTGGGTGTATGCTTATATTTTTCTCCACCCATCATAAATCTCAGCATTAGATCTTTCCCCACTCATATTTTGCATTAGTAAATTGAACTCTCTGCTCTGTCCCCTCAAAGATTAATGCCTCCATCTGAGGAAGTAGTTGAATACGTGCTGGCGGTAGTGCTTTCATCATTAGCAAATGGGAGACTGTGGGAGGAGAACAGAATTTGCATGTGTTGGATGTTGGCCTAAACATACTCAAACTGAATTCTGGACATCAGGGAAGAATTGATAGAGCATAAGCATTTAATCAGCAAACCACAGAAAAAAAATATTTGAGGAATCCTACTTTTAATTAAAAAGCTTTTCATCCCTCTTTGTTCCAACATGAACAAATGTGTCTGCAGAGTGCACTCCAAACATCTCAAACCCATATTTGCTGTCAAGTGGTATTACATTTTACTAGTGATCCTGGGAAAAGTTTTTAAATCTCTGTGGAAGTTTGAAATATTTTCACTACCCTATTTTTTGAAGACACATTTGAGAGACATTTAAATGTACAAATGTTAAACCAGTTCAAAGTGTGGTGCCTCGTGTGTGCCCGTGGCATCCAGTACAACTTGATCCTGATCCTTGTACAGACCCCCAAGTTCCTTCACAGTTCTTCTGCTACCTTGGAGTTCCATTTATTCACCAGTGAGCCTGCTTCAAACAAACCCAGTTTGCCTAAAATCAAAATAAAATGTCAGCAGAGAGGAGCTTGGTTGACTTTGCCACCTGGCTCTGTGGACAGCCGTGTGCAGAAAGCTACCTTAGGACCCACCTTTAATCCAATCTAAGTTATGTTAAGCTTTTTTTTTCACAACCAACAGCACGTGAAGGAACAAAATAAGCACGCACAGTACAGAACAAAGGCCATTCATCAGCGGGGTATTCTGGCCTCTAATTGAACAGCAGTCATATCGACTTCCTCCTTCGCCCAGCTCTGGGACTCAGTGTCTTTGCTGTGCTGGGGAAGGAAAGGCAGAAGCACCTGTGGGCACTGCAGATTTTACCGCAGTTCTTGCAAGAGTGCACTTGCTAACCAGGGTGCTCTGGCTGCTTTCCAGCCAAGGCAGATACGAGATTTTGCCTGCCTTGAAATCATCTGAAAAGTTTCAAAACATTTTCTTCACTTCCTGCCTTAAGCTTTTGCAACTATTACCTCCTGCATTAGAGACAGTGGCTTTTAACAACAGGTAAAATTAAATCCTGTGTCTGGCATTTGCCAAGTAGCTTGATATTTTTTGGAAGTTTGATGATGTTTGACATTTTTACCTGTGTCTGTGTTTAGTTTTTTAATTATCCCCTTGTGATCATTGACAAAGGCCTGAAATTGTAGATGTGGAGGATACGGGCCCAGAAGAATGAAAGAAAACAAGTAGCTAAGTATATTATATCTCTTTAAAAAGCAATTTTTAAATTCACTTCTGCTGAAATCACAAAGGCGCTCTAGTCCTGTTTCAGTTTGAAGGCTACTTCAACAGATAGAATCATCAGATTCCCATTGAAGAATATCCCACAAAGCACTAAATAACTGTTGGGATTTGAGGCACCAATTATGACCAGCCAGGCACTGCTACTTTTAGAATGGTCTTTGGTATGTGCTTTCCACCAAAGAGGAAGGTACCTGAACATGAGTTACGCAGGAACCAAGGGCAATAGACCAGAGGCCAGACATCTTATCAGTCAGCCACGGCTTTTGTGTAGATAACACAGCCTGACGCTGTGAAGTGCTGCTTGTTCCTAATTTTTGCCGTGAACAGGGATAACTGGAGGCACTTGGAGTCACGACACCGAGCACCCTCTGTGCTGGGTGACTGCGGAGCCGCTGGCATCGTACGGGCAGGGCGTGTTTGGTGTTGCCATGCTGACACAGGTCAATATACCAATTGATACCGAGCAGTTGTGTAAAAAGCAAACTCCAGGCTGAGCGTGCGAGCAGGGGTGCTGCCTGTGAGGCACGTTGTTTTCTCTGCAGCTGGAATGTGATGTTCTGCTTCAGATGTCGTGATAAGTGTACGGACTGGAGCGAGTGCGCAAGTGCTCCGGATACCGCCAGGGCTGGTGGGTTTGGGCAGTCTGGAGCAGAGATTGGGGCAAATGCGTGAGAGGTTCCTGCAGCAGAGGGAATGACCTGTGAGCCCACACCCACAGGGCAGAGCTTGTGGGTCACTGCACAGCAAGAGACTGGGGACGGCCAAAACGCACACCAGGCTCTGGCCAGGAAAGGTTTCTTATCGCAGCAGTGGTTCCATGCTGAGCTCTGCAGCTCAACGAGAAGGGGTCCTCAGAGGAAAGCTCCATGGAGGTACCCTCGGGCACTCTGGAAGCCTGGTTTGCTCCCCGCAGAGGAGCCGTGGTCCCCCAGCACGGGAGCGTGTGGAGAGGGGCCAGAGCCTGTGGAGGAAGAGGTGAGTGATGCTGGGGGAGAAGAGGGGGTGGTGGGACTGGGGTCCATCTGGACCCTTCAGTGGCTCCTGGGGTGAACTTTTAACAGTTCACCTGAACAGGCACGTTTCTTTAGTTGTTGGAAACATCACTTGGTCTGTTCAGCCTGGAGAAGAGGAGAGGGAGGGGAGGCCTTATCAAGGTCTACAACTTCGCCATGAAGGGAAGTGGAGGGGCAGGCACTGATCTCTTCTCTCTGGTGACCAGTGACAGGACAGGAGCGGATGGCCTGAAGCTGTGTCAGGGGAGGTTTAGGTTGGCTCTAAGGAAAAGGTTCTTCCCCCAGAGGGTGGTCAGGCACTGAACAGGCTCCCCAGGGCAGTGGTAACAGCACCAAGCCTGACAGAGCTTGAGAAGCCTTTGGACAACGCTCTCCGGTACATGGTGGGGGATGTCCTGTGCAGGGCCAGGAGTTTGACTTTGACGATGCCCGTGGGTCCCTTCCAGCTCAGAAGCGATTCCGTGATCCCCCAAAGGCCGAGCGGCCGGCTCAGGGCTCAGGGGGCCCGCGGGGCCGCGGCGCTGACTCAGGCGGGCGGCAGGCGGCGCCTTTAAATGTGCCGGGCCCGGCCGCTCCGCCTCAGGTGCCGCCGCCGCCTCCCCCGCCGCGCACCGCGCACCGCGCCTGCGCCGCCCGGCACGACCCGCTCCGTCCGCTCAGCTTTGTGCGGGCCCGGCCCGAGCGAGCGGCGGGACCCGCGGGGCGACACCGACCCCCAGCACCGACCCCAACCCCGACCCCAACCCCGACCCCAGCACCGACAGCCGGGGGCGCGGGCCGCCCGCCGTCCTTAAGGTGGATCGCGCTTAAGGTGGAGCGCTGCCGCGAGGCGGACCGGGCGTTAAGGTGGATCGCGCTTAAGGTGGACTCTCGGCGAAGCCGCGCCTGCCGGCGGGGGGGCCGGGGCTCGGCATGGGGAGCCCCGCCTGAAGCGGGGCCCGAGGAGCCGCGCCGGCCCGGCCCGAGGAGGAGGAGGAGGAGGAGATGGGGGAGGCCCGCCGCTGAGGAGCCAGCTTCGCCCCGGCCGCTGACAATGCCCGGCTCCCGGCCGCTCGGCAGGAAAAGGCAGCCCATGGACGAGGGCGAGGTGGGGAGCGCAGCCCGGCGCGGAGCCGGCGGGAGCGGGGCTGCTCCGGCTGCCGGCCGCTCCTTGGGGGAATGGGGGGGGACGGGGGTGGTGGTGGCGGGGGTTGCCCCGTCGCGTTTGGATTGGGAGAGGTTTAATTTTCTTTAAAGGCAGCTCCTTCATCACCGCCATCCTCCTCCTCCTCCTCCTCCTCCTCGTCCCTTTGCAGCTCTGAAGCCGCCCCGGCCGCAGCCTCCCCGCCGGCCCCCGGGACCCCCCGGCGCAGCGCCATGGAGGCGGTGGGAAAGTTTGAGTTCAGCAGGAAGGACCTGATCGGGCACGGAGCCTTCGCCGTCGTCTTCAAAGGCAGGCACAAAGAGGTGAGAATACCGGCGCTTTTTTTTCCCCCCTTGGTTTTTGTTCGGTTATTTATTTATTTATTTATTTCCTGGTCTGGGCCGAGCTGGGCAGCGCGTCCCGGTCACCCCGTCCCCGCCGGCTGCGGTCGCTATTTCCAGCCTGGGCATCACCCCGGGCTCGGGGCAGCCCTGGGGATGGCAGACGTGTTGTTTGTTGTTATTTGTTATTGTTCTCTTCGGAGTTTTCTTTGGGAGCGGGCATATGTCCTGGCAGGTGGCTTCACCTTGGGGCTGGGAGGCCGGCAGCTGCCTGGGAGGTGTCCACAGACACCCCCCCCCCCCCCCCAAAAATCTGCCCTCACCTCCAGAATAAGGAGTGTGGGGGAGAAATCCCTCCACGCTGTCTGTGAAGTGTGTAGAGAGCCCTTCCTTTAGTTTGGGTTGGGTTTTTTAGGGTTTTTATTTTGTGTCTGTGAAGTCTTTTCTTCCTCCACTTAATTTTTCCAGGAGGAGGAGAAATCTCATGCTGGTAAATAAAAGGAAACCAATCCGGCAGTGGATTTTCCATCATTAGGGCTTGGGATAAGCTGTGGCTCCCACGGTGCGTTTATTTCTAGTGATTAAATAAGAGGATAATCGCCATATAAAGTAGTAACAAAAACCCAAACCTTGGGCTTTTCTCCTTGGGCTGACAAGCATAATTTGGAAAGGGCAAGTCTGAACAAGCGAGAGGTAGGCATTAGGATGTGAAGTGAGAGGCCTTTACCGGTGCTGCACAACACTTTGTTCAATAGTATTTGTAATCTGTTAAGAGGCTGCTTAACCTAATGTAAATTAATGGTGAAATTTACATTTACCTTTGCATTACATATGCACTATTTCAGAAACCTGAGCTGGAAGTAGCTGTGAAATGCATTAACAAGAAGAACCTTGCAAAATCACAAACTCTGCTGGGCAAGGAAATAAAAATCCTTAAGGTAAAAGGCGGACTGACTTGTTTCCTTCAGTCTTTGTTCTATATGCCCTTTGTCACTCCTATCTTACAGTCTTTTTTTTCCCCTCTTTCTAGGAATTGAAGCATGAAAACATTGTTGCCTTGTATGACTTCCAGGTAAATACAATCAATTACGGCAAAATATTTTGGATTTGGGAAAGATTGAATGGAGTTTGTGAAACTTCAGTTTTTAACAAATGTTTTGTATTCAGATGTGTATTCTGGGGGGAAAAGTCTTCTGATAAATTAGGGAAAGATAAACAAACACTGTTGAGCAGACCATGTGTTAGTTATTGGCTGGACCATAGAACTTGTGTGAAGTTGGCAGTTGAAGTGGGAGCTTCTGTTCCCAGGATGTAATGCAGTGTGTGGTGAATATGTCTGTGGAGGAAGCTCTTAAGTTCTCAAAATCCTAGAAGTAAAATTACAGTAGTTTATTTTTGGCATGCCCACCTTTGGTTTTCTTTCTCTGGTCTGGATAAACTCCCTGAGAAAATTTCTTTTTCCTGGGCCATGTTAAAATAGTGTGGGCATGACTTTGTGGCATATGATTGTCTCCAGTTCCAGAGGATTTTAATTGGCATTTTTCTGTTGTCCTTGTGGCAGTCACTAAGTGTTAAAAATTGCAGCAGACATTTTTAGATTATTGTGGTTTCCCACAGTTGCCTTTTCCTTCAAAGTCAGCCCTGAAGATCTAATCTGAGGGGCTAAAACCAATCCGCTCTGAAACCCGAGTTATCCAATGACTTTTGGTTGGGTTTTTTTCCCCTTGAATATATAGTTAACTTGCCCAGTGACCCAGCAGGATTTTTCTTAGACATTTGCGATGCTTTTTAAGATAACGCTGCAGGATGGGAAGCCTAAGATGGAACCCGTGTGTTCGTGGGTGAGGGTCTGGTGGGGCCGGGGGGGCTGATGTGGAGTGACAGCTGTGTGACCACGGACCCCCGGCTGGCCCTTGGGGTGGCTTATCGGGAGCCTCCTGCCCTGTCGCTGATATCACGTGTCCCGCAGGCCGCCGTGTTTGTTGACATTCCTCCTTTTCCCGTGGATTGGCTCCGGTGGCTCCCACGTCACCCCAGACACGAATCCCGGCCGGCCGGAGCAGCAGTGCCTGCGTGCGGTGCCTTCTGGGGGCTGTAGTCTGGGGGCTGTGTCAGCCCTGCCCGCGGCTGGGACACCCCCCGTGTCCCTCCCTGCCCGAGCAGGGGGCTCTGGCCAGGTGCTGCTGGGGCCCGGGGGGTTATTTTGGTGAGAGGTGGAAGTGGGGGATGTCAGGTTGCTCTGGGAGGGAGAGAAAGCTGCTGGGAGCAGGATTGCTTTTTGGAAATATTGCATTGCTCCTGAGCAGCCCTTCGGAGCTGGGCTGGCGAAGCAGTGGCTGCCTTTGGCCTGATGTGTGCTGCAGAGTAGCTGGGAAAGCTTCCTCTGGGCACAGGCCACTTGGGGCATTAGATCTCATGGGGTTTTTTTTCCTTCTCTGTACCTTCTAAATTTGCTTAATACCTTTTTCACTTGAGGGAGTGAGCGGCTGCTCCTGCACTTCTTCTGTAGTTTGCATTTGTATGAAGCCTTTATGCTACTGGGTGTGCTCATTGCAGATCTTTCAAAACTTCTGCTCTGTTCCTCTCCCTTCTTCGAATTACTGCTGGGTAGGAAGCAGCTCAAAGACATTTTCTGCAAAAGGAGCAATTTTATCACTGTTACAATTATAGCAATGCGTTTTTCTCCTTTTGTGATGGGCTTTAGTTAAATCCTATGTATAGCAGTGTAGTCTGGTGAGATTTTTTGCAAGAAGCTGTGCTAGATGCCACAAAACAAGAACTTGAGAATGGTCCAGGGGCTCAAGGCATGCCCAGCTGTATGTTTAGTTACCAGCTTTGTCAGAGAGTCCTTGTATGACCTGCGTAATTTGATTTCTCAGACAAAATGAGATGATTTAGGGAGCAGTGGGTGTTTTATAGTCCTACCAGGGCGTGGAGTCTCCCCTGGTGTGAGGTGATCAGTCACCAGACAGTCTGATGGAGTCCACCCACATAGGTTGTGTGTGAAATGTGTCTGAGTGTTTGGCCTGCTGGGGAGTTGTATGAGAGTAAATTATTGCAAAGCTAAAAGTGCAGGTCTGTGGAAGGCTGGCTTCTGCCCACCTTTCCTTTCTTTGTAGAAAACTGCTAATTACTCACCTTGCTCTCCCAAGACAAGACTGGTTGCTTCATTCATAGCTGCATGTGTATTTACCCTTGAAAATATATTTGCAGTTAATTGAGCCTTTCCTTGTAGGCTTTCTAAAACTGAAGAGGTTTATTCTTGTATTACAACATCATAGAGCTGAAGGAAAAAAATACTTCCTGTGGAACTTAATGTTGCCCTGTAGCTTTGTCTGTCATTGCATTTTGTGTCCTCCCTCACTCTGCTCTGCCTGTCAACAGTGACTCTGACTTTTACTCGTGTACACAAGGAAATGGTTACCAAAACCACAGTGGCTGCAAGCAAGTGATTACATGCAGTGATGCTTTCATTTGCATTTTCCTGGTTAAAAACTAATGTTAACCAGGCCTCATACAACACACGATTTTTGATGTAATGCCAGATTTGCTTCAGACAGACATTTGCAGTGCTGATATTGAGCACTGACAAGCAGCTCTCACCCTGGCACCCATAGTTTATCCTTCAAATCCAGGAAAATTGCTGTGCTACTTCTCATGTCATAGATCTTTGTGATATTGGTTCATAAATAATGACAAAATAAGAAGCTTTGTAGGAGTAAATGATACTGACAAATGTTTAATGCATAAAATTGCAGTGACTGGACTTTTATAGATCCCCTTGCTGGAGTCCTGAGAGCAGTGTCAGAACATGAGAATGGCTCACAAAATGAAATATGCATATTCCCATTATTATGTGCTCATGTATTAATGAGAGGTGCATTTAGGAGCCTAATGCAAGAATCCCTGCTCAAAAAGAGGATAAATCCTATTGTACTGCATTTCTGAAAGTGCTGTCTGTTTAGTGTGTATGGAGTTGTGGTGCAGGTTTTCCCCAGGTACAGGAGATGTTTGGCATACACTAAAAACTCTACTCTGCCATCTGTGGGGTGCATTAGTAGTTACTGAGCAATCCCTGACTCCTCAGCTGGCTTGCAGAGGGGCTGGAGTTGGGGACCCCAGTCTGCAGCAGTCAAGGGGGGTTTAGCAGTCCAGAGGGACATCTGGATACCAGAAATCTCTTTAGTCTGAAGGCAGCCAAATGAGCTCTTGTTCCTTAAGGTGGCAATTAGTAACAAGGATACAAATGATGGTTTCTACCAGTATGGAAATGAGGTTTCTCAGAAAACTGATCTCCAGAACTCTGAGGATCAGCTCAACTCTTCACACACATTGACACTGGAAGGTTAGCACGTGTGGTCTGGTGTGTGGGACTTGCTTTGGTTTCCTCTGTGACTCAGGGCATTGATTCTGTGATCTTGATTAGCTGAGGGGATTCAATGGTAGGAAGGTAACTCTTGAGCTTTTCAGATCCTGGGAGCATTGTGTCCTAGACAGCTTATTCCAGCATTACTCAGAACTCAGTTCTTACATGTAACTGAGATCTTTGGGCAGTGGGAGGTCCTGGGTGTGTTTTCCTCCCTGTGCTGTGCCAGCTGCCCCAGATTGAGTAAGTGTCAACTGAAGATCTCACACGTGGCTATGTTGATGCTAGGGCAGAAAATCTGCTATTCCTGGACATAAGTCATGCTTTGGATATTAGAAAGCATTTTCCTGCGTGAAATAGGAAGAAGGATTATTGAACTGGTGTGTCTTCCCTAATTCTGTGCTGTGAGCTGAGCTTGCTTCTTAAAGCATGCTGGCTAGAACTGTGCTTGTGTGGGTATTGGGTGGGTTTTGTGTTGGTTTTCTTTTTTTTTTTCCCCAATTTTTGCACGGGTGGGATGGACTGGTTGTGGCAACCCAGCTGTTAACGTCACACAGGGCACTGCTGTGACGTTTGTGTTCAGCCTGTGTTACCTGAGGGTCTGCTTTCCATAATTTGGTGACAGGTTGGCTTATTGTACTCACGAGTTTGGGATGAGCTGAGAGTAATGCCTAACTCGCTCATCTAGCACAGACTCACCAAAAATATTTCTGCTGGGATGACTGTATCACCTGGAGACAAAGAACATGGAGTCCTTGCAGTGCAGTTTTTCTCATGCACATGGATTAAGGAATGGGTGGCAGAACAAACACTTCTCAGCTTAGTGATCAGTCAGCCTGGTGATAATAACAGCCTTGTTGTGTTGCTACTGTATAGCAAGTCCTTGTGATCAATAGGATGGTGGCTGCTGGGCTGTGATGTTCTGCTGTGCTGTCTGCACCATCACCCTTTTCTGACACGGAGCCTTGAGCTGTTAGTCTGCGTCTTGTGTACGTGCCTGCTGCTGTCCCCCGGGACCTCTGGAGTGCAGTGTCCTTAGGTGTGTCCTTCCCACTGCCCTCCAGCCTCATCAGCTGCAGTGCCGTGCCGGGGAGCGTGGTGTGGGATGAATCAGTGTTGCAGCAGTGTCACCTCATGCCTCACCACCTCTCGTGCCACCTCACGCAGGATCTCCTGTTCCTCAGGCGCTGCTGTTTGGGTGCCCCATCTCGGGGAGACAGGGCTCCCCTGTGACACTCAGAGTGACTAAGGAGGCACTCTGTGTCTGGGGGATCACAGTCCTGAGGTCAGGCTGCCTGGTTAAATCCTGGTTTAATTCCATCCCCGAGCAAAGCTGGCAGGTTGCCTGGTGAGTGGGTGTAAAGTGCAGGCTTCTCTGAACTGCCAAGCAATCCTCTTTCTGTTTGTGCTGCGGACAGGAATGGTGTGTGTGCTGTCCTGCTCTGTCAGCATCCTCACATCTGTTGAAGGGAATCACTGAAGATTGGATCTGGCTTAATTTAGCTGGAAGGGAAAAGGACAAAAACCCAAACACCCACTGCCAGTAGTTTTGTAGAGTGAGGCTTGAGAGTTTAGTGGACCAAAATGGATACGTTTGTGGAGAGTTGAGAATTTTATAGTCTTTTTTTTTTTTTTTTTTTTTTTAACACTGGCTTCACCTGCCAAGTACCCCACTGTGCAGGTCACAGAAACATCTAGCAAATATT